AAAGTAAAAATAAAGGATTGGGCTGTGGGGTTTTGTAGTGTTTGCTTGGTTTTATTTACTCTAACAGCTTCTTTAGGAATACTGATGATGAGCAGGAAATGTTCCATACAAATTTCTTAAATCAGAAAAACAGAGTGCAAGGTATATACTTGGTATAAATTTAAAACTTTGCTTTTTTTCTTTGTTAAAAAACTCAATGACTGATATTTTCCTAATCCTGATATCATAGGGAGCTTGTCAGTTTCTCTATTCCTTCTTCTTCAGAGATAAGGAGAATAATTTTGTGAAATTGGACAATTTACCTTGTATAAATCATCCAGGGTTTTGGTAGTGAGAAGTGTTGCCTCTTAATTCTTTCCTTTCCACCCTTGTTGTAAAGTGATCCTGAAGAGCTGGTTCCAGCAGTAAACTTCTGTTAGCTGTAAAGGGTCTTTGCTAACTTTAGAAAATGAGTTCTTAGTGCTGTTGTACCATCCTTTAAACTTGTCTGAATTAGTGAAGGATCTTCTGTCAGAAAGTGCTGCTTAATGCTGCATTGTTCAAGGCTTTCTTTGTTGTGGAATGTGTACGTCCTGATTTTTGGCATTACTTAAACATGATGAGGAAGTAACTTCTAGCAGAAAGTTGCTATTTAACTTTATTTCTTATCATGTAGTTTTACTTCAATGCTACCTACAATACTAGGTGTATTTCATTTTTGTCAAGTAAGTAAGTTGAGTAAAATCACCTCTAATTTACCTCAGTGGTTTCATCAACTGCAAAGATTTGCATAATGAACTCTCAAATGACCATGTGAAGTAACTGGTGCAAGAATAAAAAGCATTTATTTCTCAATCTGCATCCTCTGATACATGAGCTAGCTCAAATTTAAAGAGCATTGACCTTAGTTTCTGGTTACAGTTGAGATCACTCTGGTTATTCCTCTGCTTAAAACAAAATTAGCCTGAAATCTTAGCCTGAGTGCTTATGAAACATTACTTAACCCATGGTGTGTTTTTAATCTGGAGCTTGATCCTTGTTGCTCTGAAGAAAACCTGAATTTGAAATAAAGGATGTGAATAGTTGGTTTTGATTTTTACAAATTTGCTGTAAAGCCCACAGTGTGGTTATTGTGATGGTGGAATTTTATTTTTAACAGCCACTGTAATTGCAGGTTCTTCATTCTGTGCATTGTCAAAGGATTTTTAAAATCAGATTTTTTCACTTGTTTCCCTCGTAGCTGAAATGCTATTTGGTCTTACTTCCTATTTTGTGTTACTGTTTGTGGTTTAGAAAATCTGTATTTTGTCAAATTAAAGATCACTTTTTTTATAGGCTGCCTTCTGTACTGGTCTTTGAAAAGAGAACAGAGCCTTGGCTAAAGTGTTCTATTAGCATCAAGTATTTATGAGAGTATTTCAGTCTTGTTTCTCACTCCTTTCTTTTTAGAAAAAAACTTCTATTTGTATTATCTAGTGTCTAATAAGATTACTAAGGTTTCTTATATCAAAAAAATTGGAAGAATTTTAGGTATTGGAGAACCTGACAGATGAAGCCTGAGCACTTTCATTCTTTTAGGAGTTCCATGTCTTTTCAACTAATTCTGTACATTAAATTAATTCTGAATTCATTAAACTTGCTAAATACTAGAATTGCATAAAGAAAATAACAGGGTACTTATTATGTTGATTGTCAACTCAGAAACTTTTTTTAGAGTGAGCAAACACTACTTGGGCAAGATTTAATTGTGTACCTGAAAGTCTTTGATGAGTTGCCATCTTACAAGTGTCCCTGGTGTTCTGTCCATGGGAAAACTTCTCACTTACCTTGACTGTTTATATGTTGTAGTCATAACAATGTGCCATGGAGTTACACAGGTTTCTAAGGATCTGTGAGGTTTAATTAAAAATATTTGTTGCATTTCCCAAGTAATGGTTAATCTGAACCCTATTTAAGCATGACTGTTTTCCTGTTCCTGCTGGGATATTCTGATGGATGCTGATTTATGATGCAAAATTCCATGAATGCAAAAACATGAGTCTAGTGTTGTTGGTTTTGTTTTTTAATTTTTTCTACAAAGGCTTTATACTTTTTTACAAAAAATACACATGGTTTATAAAAATGCTGTGGAACTCCTTGCTGGCTGAAATGTCTCTATTTGTAGACCGGCAAAAAGTTCACCTAAAGTGACTTTTTCTTTAGCTAAAATCATAAAGTTTCTTTTTGGGAGAAAGGTTATGTGGAAGAAACTGATGTTGAGAGGTCTCCAGCTTCTTCTAAGAGAAGAAGTGGTTTGAAAGCTGGCTTTAAAGGGAAACATGATTGGGTTTTGGACCTGATGGAAATAAAGTGAATCTGTAAAATGGCAAAGACTTGACGGAGATGGAAAAAATCTGCTGCTGTCCTAATAGTTCAAGTTACCAAAAAATGTATTTACTTTTGAATATGAAGTTTAGTGTCGATGGACTCATCAGACCTCATTAAATCTCATAAGGGGTTAGAACTGTTTTTTATCATTTTGCTAGGTAGTATAAAGTTATGTGTGTGCAATACTGAGAATCAAATAAAATTAAACCACATTCTGCTGTTCTTCTTTAGAAACATTCCTGCGTAAATACTGCAGTAATACTGTCATGCAGAGTGTATCCTTTCTTGTTGTATCCTTTTTTTGTGCAATGTTTCCTGTAGCACTCAACTGCATCTTAAGTTTTCATATAGAGTAGGTGTGGGGAGGAGTTAATGTATTTTAAGCTTGAGCTAATCTAATAATTTTAAACATCAAGTTTTTTTCAGGGGGGAAAAAAGAAGCCAATGAGTTGTCTGTGTTGTGTGAATAGACACAATGAAGGTTCTTAATCTGAAAAGGTGCCCTTCACCTTTTTCCTCACCCTGTTAATTTGTGGTCCTATTCCGTAGTGGAACAGTTCTAGCTCATACCAGCTGATCTATGTGAAGCTGTGCTGAGCTCTCACTGACCAAGTTACCTTATTTTTCTTTAAATACATATTAATATAATAATATGTTAGCTAAAATACATTGCAGAGCAGTCTTAATGTTAAGGGGTTGACCAGTATTTTAGATCATTTGATGATTACTGTTGTCCTGCTACATGAGAAAATCTGGAGTTGATTTAGTTTATACATTCCTTACTTTGTCTTTTTTGAGTAAAGAAGAAAATTAACGATATCTTGCAATTAAGTATTTGGAGCTGGACTAATAATCAACTATTAATCACTGCTACCTTTTTGTTGGTTGTTTGGGTTTTGTTAGATTGCTCTCTGCACTGAGGTAGTGTTGTTGCTAGTGACTTACATGTTTCCTGTGGGTTTCATACTACATTACTGTTTAACTTTCTATAATATTAAGTTAATACAGCCTGCATTTATTAAGATGTATTTTTCACAGATATTAAGCACTTTTTAAAACACTAAGCATCTTTCAATTTAGTTGTCAAGAGCCAATATAACACTGCTGTTTTTTGGTAGTTCTTACTTTTAACATGCCTTTGTGATGTTCCAGGTCCCTTTTGTGTTCCATCTCTTTCAAGTATTACCAAGCTGGGGAAGAAGCAGTGTAATCATCAGGACTCTTGAACTGTGCGTAGTAGCATTTCTAAAGTACTTAAGGCAGAGAATAAATTCTCACATCTTAAAGATTCCATATACCTTTAAATATCACAAGACTTGCATCATAAATGTATGTTAGATTGCTTGTGAAATCTAATAAATTATTTCCCTTCTCTCCATTTTGCTGCCTTCTCTTTGTTTTGAATTTTGTTCTTGGGGTTTTGAGTGGGACGGATTTTGTTGTCTTGAAGGCCTAGCACAAGGACCTGGTGCACTGGCCTGAATTGGTACTGTGAAACTGGGCACTGTTCTTCCTCAGTAATTAACTTGCATTGTTCATATGCGACTTGAAAACTGTCACTAGTGGGACTGAAGTCATTAAAACCGGAGTAGCTGTTAAGACTGGTACAGATGTGGTCCTTGCTCTGTTGAGGGTGATAATAACAATGGTCACATAGTAGGATTTGCTATGTACTGGGCTGGTTAGTGGAACTGTCTGAAACCATGTGGGAAACATTACAATGACGTTTAATTGACAAGAGGTTCTAGTCCATGGACCAAAGTCTATCTTGGCTATTTTTTTTCAAATATGAACTGGTTTAGCAGATTACTTTAAAATACTGTCAGTGGAATTTTTACTAGTTTACTTGCTGCATTCCCATGGGGACTGTGTAATTGTTCCTTTAATCCTAGAGGGTTTTTTCAGCTTTCATCTGTCCTAACACCCATGTTGAGCTACACGTACAGAGTGAATTTTCAAAGTGCCGAAGTAGGATTACAGCAAGGTGGTGCTGTGCTCAAGGACAAAAATACATTGTAAAAAGGTGCGGGAAGTGCACGTTCCGGGAGCTGCGCCCTGTCCCGCCCTGTCCCCGTGGCGGGCGGGCCCGGCGGAAGGGGCGGCCCCCGCGGCCCGGCCGCACGGGGAAGCGCGGCCCCTGTGCCAAACGCGGGGCTGCTGCGGGGACATCCCTGGGGAGCCCCGGAGGAGACAGGGCCGCCGCTGTGCTTCCCTGTGACAGCCTTTGGCAGCTGCAGCTTGAGCAGCACGGCGTCGGACGGCCCGCAGGCCTAACGGGTTGCAGGTGTGTTGGAGAGCGCGGCTGGCCCGCACGGCTCGGGCCCTGACCCAGCAGCAGAGAAGGTGACCCGAGTTCCTGTGTTGGCCAGGACAGCAGCAGGGCTCTGCAGCGACACTCCGCTCCCAAGTTCTCTGCAGGCAGACAGTCAGTGTTGCTCCCTTCCACGTAGTCTCTTATTATTTTTCCAAGTTTCAAAAATATTCTGAAGCTAGAGCCATCAGAATGCAATGAGGATTTCAACATCCCCATTCTCTTGTTATTGATTGTATTGAAGGCAGAGCAGCCATAAACCTGTTTCAGAGAAATGAAAATCTACATTGAGTCTTTAAGCACCAAGTTTTGGACCTGGTTGGGTCAAGGTACATTATTCTTACTACTTTGTGTATTTACTGCTGGAAATAAAACTTGCCAATCTGATAAATGCTTCTCTTAACCAATGAAGATCAAATTTTCTTTGCTCATTTTCTTTTAATGTATGTTCTTCTTATCGGGGCCAAAAAGCATTCCTTTATGAAAATGGAAGCACCCAGAACAACTGCTTGTGGCTGAAACTTTATCTGTATACTTTACCGAAGATTTACAGCTAAGTTGTATGAAAGTTATTTTGTTCACAAGCAGAAAAACAAGCTAAAGATACCAAATGCTTAGTTCAAAGTAACTCTGCCTGCTTGAGAACAGTGACAGCTAATAGCAGAAGGCATGTTCTACACTTTATAAACTGCTATATTTTGTGCCTAAAGTTGCTCCAAAGAGTGCTCCACTACCTGAGAGATATGGATCATCCTTTCCTTGAAGCAGAAATGAAGGCAGTTTTGTAGAAGTCATGTAAGATTATATATGAACTTATGTCTGGGTTTCTGTATCACAGCACGTCGGAGCGTTCAGCAATGCATTCCCATGTGTGTATGAAAAGCACTGGGAAAGCACTGGTTTCCATCATGCAGCCAACCTGAGGGCCCTTGTGTTCATGGTTAAACCTTCACTGAGGTGTTTGGTTTCCCCTGTGACAGGAATCTCTCTTTGCTCTGTGTCATTTCTGTAAAATAACTTTATAAAAAGAATAGATACAGGAAAATAACAAGATTCTGTGTTTTGTTATTTCAGGGAAGTATTAGTTCAGCCATTTGTGTGCAGAAATTCTTCTTGTAGGATTTCTTTGTATCTCAGACTCTCCAAATCAACTTCTAAATGTGAAGAGTGCGAAATAGGGCTCTCAATAGAGTAACATATACCTTGATAGTTGTTTCATTTCTGGTTGGTTACATGTTGTATCTCTCACAGTGATGAAAAAGAGACAAAGATTGTTGTCTTTGTCCCTAATAGGATTGGCATCCCCTACAAATAGGATATGGGTTGGGAAATGCAGTTCCTAACCTAGCTCATCAGAAGGGGATGTAGCTGATTTCAAGCTTCTGGAAAGCTCCTTTTGCAGAACTCTCTGTACTTGGGCACTCAGATGTCTTGGTTATGGAGCTCCACAGCACTTCTAACATCTGCATGCCATTGCCCACATTCTTAAAAGGAGAATATCTCCACGCAAACAGGTGTGCTGAGATCAGACATGTAGCATTTCTGGGTTTGAGTCACTATAATTAATGAGTTCTGTATCTGAGAGATCTTCCAGGTTTTAGGCTGTTGATTGAATGAGAGATGTTGTGCATATCGTGAATGACAGACTCACATATGTGAAACCTCCAGAATATCTGGGGTTTCATAACCAATCATGGTTTAAATATGCTGCTTCTCCAAGGTCTTGTCCAAATATGTTCAAGTTGTAGCAACACCATTTTGTAAAAAAGATGCCTCTCAAGGATAAGTAAGAATGTATAATAATGTACATTAAAATGAGAAATAAAATGTCCATTGCTATCTATGTAAGTGTTTCTTTGCCCTTTGGAGTACTTTTCTGCTTTATACTAATAAAACCACAACTTTTGTATTCTGGTGGCAGCCTGCATTAGGCAACATCTGAATTTTAACTGCATGAAAACAGAGTTACTGTTAGTATGGGAATTTGATATAGTTTGGATAAAATCCAGTTCTCATATAAAATGACAAGTAAATAAATATGATGCCAGAGATGAGTTTACCTTTAAATGTGTATTTTCTAATGTGGACTTTACCCTCTTGCAGGAACATGGACAGTTAGTAAGAAGAGCAGAACTGATCACAAATAGATGGGGATCTATTTTCTGCTGTTAACTGCAGGGCTCTGCTGGGGGCAGTACAACCCCAACACTCTCCCAAAGAGAACATCTATTGTGCATCTCTTTGAATGGTGCTGGCAGGATATTGCTCAGGAGTGTGAACGCTACTTAGCTCCTAATGGATTTGGAGGTGTTCAGGTATGTCTGTTCCTATCAGTAGGTAGTAAAATTGCTACATAGATGATAATTTGTTTTTTCACTGAAAATGTTCAATTTGTCAAAGGACAGCTACTGAACAAGAAAAATAGATATTGGTAATGGAAGTAGTAAATGCTGACAAATATATTCTTCAGCTGTCATCAAGTAAGCATGAATTTATTTCATTGCCCCAAAGTGCATGTTTTGCAGTCTCTGCTATTACATTTAGATGAATTAGAATTGCATATCACTTGATAAATCCTTTTTTTACTGCTATGAAGAGTAACCTATGTTTATTTGCTTGATATTATTTAAATCAAAGGAAGCTCTTAAGAGCTAGATAAATATAAAATGAAACTATGACTGAAGAAATGGCTTCCAAAGAGAAAAAAGTGCTGAAGGTTTTAAATAATTAAGTAGAAAAGGCTGCTAATTGTGTTCACCCAAACGAGCAGGTTTCTCTCTGTAGAGCAGAGTGTCACAGTAAACCACCAAGAGACCCTTCTTTGCAGGAACCTGGTGTGCGCAGGCGGAAGCGAACTGAACGCAGGTTCTGGTGAAGGTGTCCCTTTGTGAGTCAGTTCTGTCTGAACAACAGAGACATGTTCCTGTGGAACCAGTACTGGCACTTGGGTGAGGCAGCATGGCAGGAGAACAGCCACTTATTAAAGTATTTCAGTTTACCTGTCAGATTGCGCAGGAAAAATTGGTGTGAAGTCTGCCTCTCTCTTGTAGCCCGACAGATTGCAAGCTGGCCTGAGTGAGAACTTTCCCATAATTTTCAAATAATCATCTTTTCTTTGCAACCTTCTTTCCAGGCAAACAGAGCAGATTGATTTTACACTGCTTTCTCAGACTGTGGCCTATGCCTGTTTACCTTTTTAATCCATTCTGTGGCAGGGTCTAAGGAAGTTTTTTTCAGATGATGACTTGCTGAGCTGGTCAGGAAGGCATGGCAGTTAAGAGGCTGTAGGGGTCTCTCTGAGAAATGGTTGGATCAGGTTATGCCCAGAGACTTGGAGGTAGCAGCAAAGCTTGTTGCCTAAAAAGTATCCTGAAAAGTCTGTAAAAGAAGGAGGTGTAACTCACCTGTAAGCTTCAAAGAATTAGGTCAAGAATGTGTTCATCCAAAACATTACAAAAATGGGAAGTTGGATCAATTTTAAAGGTGGGATGTTGCACCAGTTGTTATGTAGTCACTTCCTCTGCTGACCTATTTCTCCAAGTTCAGATGCTTCTTTTCAAATCTTGCAGTCATGAAGATAATTAGGACACTCTGTTCATGGACCCAGTTTTTATACTGTGTTTCTACCTGTTGAAGGCCAGGCCTAGGTCTTTTATTTCCAGCCTACTACAGTGTAAGCAGAGGATACTGAGGATCTAAGTTTTTCTTCTAAAAATACTAGGCAAACAAATTAACCTTTAGCAGTATCCTGTTACTAAGTGCTATTGTTTTATTCACAGATTTCACCTCCAAATGAAAATGTTATCATTACTGACCCCCAGCAACCGTGGTGGGAACGATACCAGCCTGTTAGCTACAAGCTGTGCACAAGATCTGGAAATGAAACTGAATTTAGAGACATGGTGACCAGGTGCAACAACGTTGGAGTAAGTACTTTTGAAACCTTCTGGTGTTTACAATGGAAGAATATAGCCAAGCAGTGATTCTGCCATTTAAAAAAATGAATGCAGTGTTACCTGCCTGTGTCTTGAGCTGCATGTTTTATCACCCTTGCTGTATGCTAACAAAAAAAATAAAAAATTGAATAAAATGTTGGGTCAAGCAAGCAAGCAGAAATAGGGGGAGAGGGCAGGAGGTATGGGAGAGAGAACATTAATTAGTGGTGCTGTGAGAAGTTGCTTTTTCAAATTGTTATGTAGAAACTGTTCTCTAGGTGCACATTTATGTGGATGCAGTAATCAACCACATGTGTGGAGCTAATGCTGGGGCTGGTGACCGCGCAACTTGTGGAAGCGATTTCAATGCAAAGACCGAAGACTTCCCAGCTGTTCCCTATTCTGCCTGGGACTTTAATGATCATAAATGTAAATCTAGAAGTGGAAACATTGAGAATTATCATGATATATCTCAGGTAAACCTACAACTATAGTTTTCATGTACATCTGTTCCTGTGCTGTGATTTCTTTGCTCTCAGTTACAGTGAGACTTTTTTAAAAGGAATATAACAAAGACTCACAGAAAGCCATCCAAATTAATAGCAGAGGTTAGTGTTGCTATCAGGAGCACCAATTCTTAAAGGGATAGCTGTACTTGAGACAATGGGTCAGTTTCATATTCAGACAAATGTGCTTAGGTAATTAATTAAGACAATTTAAAGCTCATAAAATCTATTTATGTGTTATAAAGATCGAAGATACTACTTGCCTTTTATTGTAATTTGAAAGTTTTCCTTGGGCTTAATTTCAAAAGAGAGGGGAAAGATGTGCATGGGGAACAAAGGCTACTGAAGGTTTTGTTTGATATCATAAAGAACATTCAAAACACAAAAGTGTAGAACGCTACATGAAGTTCATTAGGTGAAAAGTGTTTGATTTGAGGACTCTTGGCCAGGTGCGGGACTGCCGCCTGCTCAGCCTGCTGGACCTGGCCCTGGGGAAGGACTACGTGCGCTCCAGGATTGCCGAGTACCTGAACCATCTCATTGCCATCGGCGTAGCAGGGTTCCGGATCGATGCTGCCAAGCACATGTGGCCTGCGGATGTCAAGGCGATTTTAGACAAGCTGAAAGATCTGAATACTCAATGGTTTCCTGCAGGAACTAAACCTTTCATTTACCAGGAGGTAATCTCTATTTTTTTAAATTTTTACTTCACAAACATATTTCTTGCAGGCCCAGTACAGACTTGGTCACACATGGCAGTGCTTTGCATGGGCTGAGCCCAAGCACATCTACAGAAATCATCCTCAATACCATCCTCAATCATAATTAACAAATAGCTAATCTCCCATAACTGGTACTTGATGTGCAAAATGCCCCACTTGTTTTGGACCTTCTGGAATTAGGCAACCTGGAAATTTTATTGAGATGAAATTTACTACATTGAAGTTAGTGTAAAAATTCTGTTTGTTTAAAAAAGAGATTTCATTTCCTGAATTTTAAATTCTGGATAATAAATAGCAACAGAAGACAAAAGTGTTGATTGTGGTCTGAAACTTTATTTTCCAATGGCATAACAACTATTACTTGATATCCCAATTTTTGTTTTACATTTGAATAATGAATTGGAAGAAACAGGTAAGTGTTGGTTTCAACAGAATCTAAATGTGCTGCACACATTTTATTAAATTAGGATCTTGCCTGCAAAGTCTAGGCAAATAGAAGCATTCTTTAACTCACATATTAAGAGGATGCAGCACAACTGCTGGAAGCAGAGACACAGGTGACCATGCTAAATATAAAATGAGTGCAGCCCAAGCCTTAATCATGGGTAAGTGATCAGTTGGGGTAAGGAGATAGAGGATAGAGATGGAAATGAGATTCACAGCTGGGCTAAGCTAAAAGGAGAAAATAGCCTTACATACAGTTTTGCAAGAAAGCCAAATAACATAATTAGCTCAAGTACTGTCCCCTTAAATGAAGCAATGTCTAAAGCAATATTTTTTATTTGTTCAGTTTTTGAGTAGAAAGCAATGCTCTGTCTTTCCTGTACCAGGTAATTGACTTGGGTGGAGAGCCCATCAAAGGCAGCGAATACTTTGGAAATGGCCGAGTGACAGAATTCAAATACGGTGCCAAGCTGGGGACAGTGATCCGCAAGTGGAACGGAGAAAAGATGGCCTACTTAAAGTAAGGGTGAAGATGCTGCAACTTACCCAGGATTCACTGGATACACCAATTGACAGGGTGGCTTCAAGTCTGTGCTTTTGTTTAGGAACTGGGGAGAAGGCTGGGGCTTTGTGCCTTCTGACAGAGCCCTGGTCTTTGTGGATAACCACGACAACCAGAGAGGACACGGGGCTGGTGGAGCTTCTATTCTCACCTTCTGGGATGCCAGGTACGGGATTGCTCTTGTCTGGGCGATGCTTCTTGCTTTTGCTTGTTTGTCTGTGTGTTCTCTGGCAGGTTCCTCCTTCCATGTCTCACTCCTTGTTTGTCCACCAAACAGGCTCTATAAAATGGCATCTGGTTTCATGCTTGCCCACCCGTACGGGTTCACCCGTGTGATGTCAAGTTTCCGCTGGCCAAGATATTTTGAAAATGGAAAGGTGAGCTATTAATGCTGAAGACCCATCCATGGGGATAAAGGGTTAGAAGAGGGCCAGAGAAGTAGTGCAGTGCATTTCACTTTGTCAGGTGATTTCCCTGTGCCATGCTGGATGTAGCCAGTGGAACTGTGATGCTCCCTCTGGCTTTGCTCTCCAGAGGGGCTCTCTGCATTTTCAGTCAGAAGAGATAAAGCTGTCTTTTTAATGTAGGATATCAATGACTGGGTTGGGCCCCCAAGTAACGCGGATGGCTCCACAAAGCCTGTTACAATCAACGAGGACACGACCTGCGGCAACGACTGGGTTTGTGAACATCGCTGGCGTCAGATCAGGTAGGGCACTGGGCAGAAACAAGATGTAAAAGCGCTTGCTTCTGCTTCCTGCTCCACGTGGCTTTAGAGCTGCTGCAGGTGCAGTGACAGACATTGCTTGTGTTTTCAGGAACATGGTTATCTTCCGTAACGTGGTGGATGGTGAGCCTTTCTCCAACTGGTGGGACAATGGCAGCAATCAAGTGGCTTTTGGCCGTGGTAATAAAGGCTTCATCATCTTCAATAATGATGACTGGTAAGTCAGTGGCAGAAATAGTGTCCCCAGAGAGAATAGCATCCCTTGTCTGCAATCCGACCTGAGTTGTTTGAGCATGCTTGGTCCAGGGAGCTAAAATGGGAGTGTTAGAGGGGTGGGAACAGAAAGCTCATTATTTACAATGCCCTTCAAATACGGGAGTAAGATCAGGTTGGGAAATCTTACACACAATTTGAAATATTAAAATAATACTTTAAAGACAATGCATAAATACTGTTTATTTTCCCATAGGAATATGAGCGTCTATCTGCAAACTGGACTGCCTGCTGGTACCTATTGTGATGTTATTTCCGGACAAAAGGAAAACAACAAATGTACTGGAAAGCAAGTGTTTGTTTCTGGTGATGGAATGGCTAATTTCCAGATTAATACCGATGCTGAAGATCCATTTATTGCAATCCATGTTGATGCAAAATTATAATTTGGGAGAAATATCCTTCTCTGTTTGGTCTGTTATGTTTCCCCTATATGTTACTCCTTGGTTTTTGAGAATGAGCAACTCTCTATTGAATAATAAATGGCATTCAAATTGAAGAGTAATGTTTTTTCCTAAATGAATTAGACATAGCTTTATCCCCTCATACCTAGTGGTGATGAAGTGGTAGGTTTTAAGACATTGCAGCACTCCAGTTCCCATGTAACAAAAACCCTGGAGCAAAGAAAGAAAGAATCCAAGTCAGCACCTGGCTAAGCTAAAATGCAGTATTTCCAGGGCTGATCCATACAAACACAGTTGTGTCCCAGAGCAGCCACCCTGTGGGCTGTCAGCTGTGAGCAGTGCCTGCATACAGAATTTATCCCTTCCGTATGACAAAGCAAGCCTGCGGTCTGGGTCACTGAAGGAAGCTGGGTTCCAGGCTGTGGCACCAGTGAAACCAGCAGGTTACCTGGTTCTCAGTCAGCTTGTGCCTGGACAAAGCAAAGCCTCAGCTCTTGTATCATTTGTCACAGCAGTTAGAGGCTCCCTGTGCTGAAGGTGCCTGAGAGCACACTATGTACCCAGGCATTGCTTACACCTTGTGCCACTCGCTGAGGCACAGCAAGCTGCTGCCTCCGGTGAGTTAGGCTCCCTAATTCTCCAATATCTCAAGGAATTATGCAAACAGAGCACAGGTTTGGCAGCTTTCCCAAATGCCTTGTCAGCTGTGAGAAAATTCTGAGGTAAAAGCAAGCCTTGCTTTAAGTCAGAATCTCTGCTAGGCCAAAAGTGCTGACTACATCCCTTTCTGGATGGAAACATGGAAAGAGGTCACTCCAATTTGAGGTTAAGGTGTACTTTTAAGGGCTGTTTACTTTCTGTGGTGTAGGAGGTGGACACTGGTGTTCCCAAGGGTTCCAAGTGTCTGTCAGGGCAGTCATGGTGTGGGAAGTGTCCCTGGCCCACACTGGAGCTCCCACCTGTCTTCCTTGCTGGCTGTGGCCAGCTCCTCCTGCATCCATGCACTGAGCCCTCTCTCAGGGGAGAGGTGCCAGAGATCAGGGGACTCATGTCACAGGGTGATCATAGCCTTTGCAAACCTGGTATTTGCCCACAGAGGGTGGTCAGGGAGTCCTCAGGCCCTCTGAAATTGACAGGAACTGTCTTAAGCCAAACATTCAGCTGTACCCTCAGAAACCAGGATTCCATACTCTGTTATTCAGACATGGCCCAATTCCAAATGGAATAACCACTCCACACTTCAGATTGCAAATCCACCCCCAAGCCCCACAGCTCTTGTGGCAAATGATTGAAATGACACACACCAATCTGAGGAGACCATAAATCTACAGGCTGAATATGGAGAAAATTGTCTGTGTCTGTGAACGTATGTGGATCCACTTTCCAAATATGTTTGAGTGCAATGAGTGTTTTATTTAATGTAGGTTCATGTAGCTCTGCATTTTTCAGTGTCATTAAATAAAACATGGAGAAAAAGAAATCCTGAGACACTCTTTAGGTGTAAGTAAAACTTTGTGGGCCAAATGTTCACTGCTTTGAAAGGACCTAACTTGCATTCAGACCTTTGTTTTTGTTCATTTCAGGATTTTGGCACATTGCATTATAATTTGAGCACAAAGATGATGAAGAAAGTAATGGTGTCATCCAGAGCAACACCAGGTCTTTCAGATAACTCATTAAACCCAGAGTTACAGTCAACATTACTGCTGATCTCTAAGTTTCAAAAAAAATGTTAGTACTAGGAAATTTTTATTTTTATAATCTCTATTGCTATTCTATGTGAAGTGATGACACTAAAGCCTTCATTTTTTTTTATACCAGTAATCAATTAAAAATTGAAATTATGTAATGAAATTTATCAAATTTAAGATAACATATTTGCTGGGGTACAAAAGGATGGTACAACAGATCTGCTGAATCATAAAATTTTAGAATTTTGTGGCAATTTTAGAATTTTCTGTTAGAAATAGTGCTCACTTTCATTGGCCCAACAGTGAATTTAGCTGTGTAATTAATCTCTGATTCTATAAATGCATTGTAAATTTACAATTTTTTTTATTTTACTTATTTATTTTTAAAATTTTTTCTTCTTTCTCATTTTGGTTTTTTTCCCCACCATAGTTCTGTCTCCAAATGAGGCTTTCAGCATAATATTGATCAGAATTTCATGGATGTGATGAATAAATAAATAAACAATAAAGCAAAGTGAATATAGCTGCTTGTATGTACAACTGCTCACTGCTCATATTTAAGCTAGATATATACATATATATATAGAGAGAGAGAGGGAGGGAGAGAGAGAGAGACAGACATTCAGGAAGTAAACACTTTCACATTCATCTAAACAAAAAAAAGAAACTATGATTTGATAATTTATCCTTCTAGTGGGTTTAATCCACAGAGTTAAAATTGTGTATTTGCCAGATAAGGGGAAATAAATAGTGAGATTAGAAAAACCATGAACTCCTAGTGTACTGTCTATGAGTGGACCAGAAAGTTGTTTGCTGAATTATCCATGGCAATTTATTTTCTCTGCTAAGTGCAGCAGCAAATACAGAAACTTTTGTTCAGCTCTGCATGCCTTTGTGCCAGCTTATTATTTCCCTGAATCGCTGTTACTTTTCTAAGAGAAGGAGTTCTATAAAGGGAAACTAACAATCTATTGTCTCTTTTATGAAGACTGTAAAAAATTTATTCAAGTTATTTTCTTTTAAGGGGAAACAAATGAAAACCTCAACACACAACACTAACTTTTAAATTGCCGATCATGTGTTTATCTGCAATCTGTGTTTTTAACAGTCTAAGGGTATTAGTCTCATTGCCCAATTATGAACAGTTTGCAAGTGTTTTCATGCTGTGGCAATTTTAATTTTGTCCTCGTGTTAAATCAGAATGGTTGTAAGAATGAGTGCTGGTGACACTGTTTGAGATGATAGCGGTGAATTATCTCCAGTTACCAGAGTCAAAGTGAGAGTGAGTGCTTGGATTTTCACCCAGTTGGCACACTAAAGCACTTAGGGTGGGCATAAATAGCCAGAGCATTTAGGGTAGGATTAAGAAATTGACTTGCACCCTGTAAGAGAGAAGTAAAGTGTGAGCAGTGCTGTGGCACTTCTGACTTGAAAATGGACATACCAAATGTTTGTCAGAGAATGAAAAATGTTTGATATCTCTTGGTCCTAAACTAATAATTAGATTGCATTATCCAGCCAACATGATTGAGCAGTAGCCAGCTTAATTAACTGCATTAGACTTTCCTATTATTCCAAGACTTATGTGACTGTGTTTATTTTGGTTTGTTGTTTTCTTGGGGCTCCCTTCCTCCCGCCCAAAAAAGAAAGTGTGATGTCATGGTAAATATGCCATCATATTTTATTTTTCATTTCAGTTGGAAGAAAGCCTTTGGGAGCTTAGCACTTCCTGTGTGTTTGTAGATGACAAATGAGAATAATTGTGCATGCTAATTTCTGCAATCTTCTGAATACTCGAGAGCATGAAGTCAGTCAAAAGACCCTTGAAGAAAGTTAACCTTCATGGTATGAGCAAGGTGACTACATGGAACTCATTATGTTTATAATAATGAACATTCAAATTTTGGCCTATTTTACATTGGTGTTATTCCTGAGCTGTTCCCTTACAATGTGTGTGGAAAGTGATTACTAAAATGTTGATTCGTACATGACCTCATGGTAGATTTCAAGTATTGGAATCACTCTGTACTTAAAAATGTACCATTTATTATGCCATTATTGTCCAAACTCTTCTATCTTTAGGTTTGCTAAGCATATCTGTGCCTTGGAAATTGTCAAGACTAAGCTCAAATGATTCCTGTCTGAGCTCACAGAATAAAAAAAAAATCACTTACAGAATAGCTATGGACTGAATTTTGGTCATTTAGATACCAATCAAGTTGAATCTCACAAGTCATAATGTTTAGCAACAGTAAAAAGAAGAGGAACACTAGGACAGATTGACACCAGGGCAAAAAAGGGTAAATTTTTTTTCCCCTCAGGTGTTCTTGTTTTCTCCTGTGTCTTCTTTTCTGGTACTAAAACTGAATTGAATGGAAAAAGCCTATTTTATGACCCTAGTTAGCAAGAAAACTGAGGTTAACAAGCATTTGTTAAGAAGTCATGGGGTCATATCCCACTGTTAAAGACACAAAAGATGCAGCAGCAGCCTTGGTCTGCAGACCTGCTAATGCATGTCACAAAGCAATACAATTCCCAGAATAGCATTTCTCTAAATTTAAGTTCCTTGGAAATGAGAGTAGCTTCAGAAACGTATATCCACACCTCTACAGACATCTAAATCTCTCTTCACTTGTCATTTACCCTCCTGCTCTTCAGCATTTGTAATCACGCTTTTGATTATATTTAAACATGTAATTTGCATCGTCTGGTAGAAAATGGCAGGACAATATTTTACTGTAAAGCTGCAGCAAGATCATATTGGGATCAACAAGTTATCAGAACCTTCCTGCTGAGATTGACCGTGGGTTGTCTGAGCTGGCACAGAGTGAACGTGGGTTTCCATGGACTGGTATCATTGCATCTTGAAGTTCCTCTGAAACTTGTTAAGACAGATAATGGGGTAGAACACTAAGAAAGGCAATAAAGGCTAATAAAATGAGGTTTCTCCATTTGGGTTCTGTGCACATTTCTGCCTTTGCACAAATACTCCTTGAATCTGTCTTTTTCTAGACAGTGCAGTTAGCAAAGGACAGCTGATATGTGCAGTGGTGACAGCGACGGGACAGAGCAGTGCTGGACTCACGGCAGGGCAGAGCAATTAGACAAGTGGCAAGCTAGAAGGAATATCAATATTGACAAAAATGATAGCTAGATAGAACAAGATAGAGCACAGAGAAGAGGCAAAGTCCTCCATGACTTACTTGTCTAGAGGACAAACTGTATGGGTAGAAATTGCAGATTGAAACAGCAAAAACAGGACTAAAACTAGTAGTTCAACAAGCATTATGTTTGTCTTGTAGATAAGACATGCATGCTTTAACTGGGAAAATAAATTATGTCTTAAAGCAGCTGCAAATGATAGAACTTCACAATGCTGTAACCTGTTGCAAACTGTCTATTTA